TTGCATAATCTTGGAAAAATGAAACATATTTGCATCTAAAAATAGGGAAAACTACCACTTACTCTATATTACACAAGAATTACCTATAGGGAACAACTAATATGTATGAGGTACTCATTAAATTATGTCCTCCTTTTTCCCTTAGATCAGCTCTAGTTAGGGTGCTCTGATTTCTTCCTGCTAGAGTAGATGCTCCACTAGGGTAAGTAACTAGTCCTTAGATGGTACTTTGGAAATAATGGAAATAATAATAATCAGTAAACACAAATGGGCCTTAGACTATTTTAGTTACAATTAAAAAAAACTCACCTACAGAAGCTATCCTTAAGAGTTTTCTTCAGTACCTATAAGCTTCTACCCTACGAATGCCTGAGTTGAATATAGAGCTCCATCAATGTAGCTTTTGTTCCTACTCTAGAAAGCATATTATCTCAGTGATTTATTAAGCCAGTTATTAAAGCCATTTGAACTTTGTACTACAAAATATGCAAAATCAATCAACTTGTTATGCTTTCATGAAAAGAAAATGAGTTTAGTTAATGACAGTGTAAACCAGTGAAAAGCATTTACTTTATACTTTCAAGTGATATAAATTGAATATTTTGCATATAAATAAATTTATTCTTCAAAGTAATGTTTATTTATATTTAAGAACACCACGGGAAAGAACCTTAAATAATAGTATTTCGACTTCAATTTCATTTTATTCTTCTACTGCAATAAATTTTGATATATTAACTGCTTTATGTGGTTTGTTCCACAATACTTTTGGATTGGTAATTAAAATACTTTCTCGGGAAAATGTATTTATTTAAATATAAATAATAATGTATCTAAGATGAAATATTACATGCTATCCATAAAAATGAAATATTTTTTGTCTCTTTATGCTAAGTTTCTCTATCAGATAAATGGGAAAAAGTTTTTTTTTTTAAAGAAACGTCTACAGTTCCTCAAATAATCATTAAATCTCTGGGCATAACTTGGCAAATATAAGACCAATTCTCACAGGTGGTATATGAAGACCAACTAGAGAGGAGTAAGCTAAGACTTCTATTAACATGATCAGAAGAGCAAATTAATATAGCTTTTCTGAATATATGTTACCATTTTTAATATGGGAAGTACTATCACATTTAGACCATATTGATTACATTTTTAAAAGGCAAAGTATGGTGCACATATATATATATATATATGTATATATAAAATCTCTCTCAAGCTATAATTATTAGAAATATAGTTCGAAAAATACAGCACAAGACTGTCATTAACAGTTGTCAACTGGATATATTTTTGGGGGGCGGGAGGGTAGGTTGGTCGTAGGGCTTGAACTCTGGGCCTGGGTGCTGTCCCTCAGCTCTTCAGCTCAGCTCAAGGCCAGTTATCTACCACTTAAGCCACAGTGCCATTTCTGGTTTTCTGGTGGTTGATTGGAGATAAGATTCTCACGGGCTTTCCTGCCTGAGCTGGCTCTGAACTGGGATCCTCACTCCGATCTCAGCCTCCTGAGTGGCTAGGATTATATGCGTGAGCTACTGGCACCTGGCTTGGATAAATTTTTATTAAGAAAACCAAAACAGTTAACCAATTTTGCCAGCGCCATTTACTGAAGAGGCTGTCTTTCTTCCATTCTATTTTTTTAGCTCCCTTATCAAAGATTAGATGGCTATAGGTCTGTGGGTTCATTTCTGGATTTTCAATTAGATTCCATTAGTCCTAAAATCTGTTCTTGTGCTGGTACTAAGCTGTTTTGATTACTATGGCTTTGTAAGTAGAGTCTGAAATTTGGTATTGATATTCCTCCAGCACTGTTCTTTCTGTTAAGGATCGTTTTTTTGCTATTCGGGGTCTTTGGACAAACCAAGAAAACTTTAAAGGTCAGAATCTTAGTCATCATTCAACAAGATCTCAATCCCTTTATCATGTAAGTAAAAATCAAGTTACTGTGTCTTTTTTTGTTGTTGTCTTCAACACAGGTTAATATCCCTAAGTATACTTATTCTGCTTCCTTACAGGTTCCTGTAGCCCACAGAACACATTTGTGTCACTTGTGGTAGTCAGAGGCCAATCACCAGCTTTTTGTTACAGTAACAATTTTTTGTGCTCAGTCTTTTTTAATTACAACAACCACTCCCATGCCTAGCTTCCATGTTCAGAATTGCTCACAATTGGTCTTGAAAGTAGAATGAAGTATTTGGGGAGGTCTGGAACAACGATGTTGTCGTTTTTCAGGCCAACCAACCCATGGATTAGTAAGGGACCTGGACAGTAGTCATAGTTCTAGGACTAAACTCTACTATCTTGACTCTTATTAGATTTTGGATAAATCTAGTTATTATCCACCACCAACACCATCCATTTGAGCATTAAGGCCAGCACCTTACCAGTTAAGCTAGATTCCCCAGTGTTTCACTTTAGTTTTGTTTTTGAGAAAGGGCCATGCGAACTTTTCTCAGGCTGACTTCAAATTTGTCAACCTTTTGCCTCCACTTCCCAAGTATCATAGGCATATGCCACCACAGCTGAGGAGGGGGACATCAGGAGAGAGTGGGAGAGAGAAGAGAGAAGATAACTGAGATAAGACTGCATGTTTTTTCATATAGGTAGCTGAGATTATTGATACTATAATCTATTTATAATAACAAGGCAGAGGCAAATATTAGAAAGAGTGAGGAATGGCTCCACGCCTGTGTCTAGCATATGCAAAGCATAGGTTTGATTCCCAGAACAAAATGAACAAAAGGAAAAAATTATTACTGAGAGAATAATCTTGACAAAAGAATAGTTTCTGCCATTGCTTTCACTTTTCAAATTTATTTCTAAGCTGGGCGCTGGTGGCTCACACCTGTAATCCTAGCTACTCAAGAGGCTGAGATCTGAAGATCGCAGTTCAAAGCCAGCTCAGGCAGGAATGCCTGTGAGACTCTTATCTCCAATTAACAACCAGAAAACCAGAAGTGGTGTTGTGCTCAAATGGTAGAGTGCTAGCCTTTAGCTGAAGAGCTTAGCGATAGTGTCAGAGCCCAGAGTTCAAGCCCCATGATTGACAAAATAAATATTTATTTATTTATCAGTAATATCAGAACTAACACCAGTCATTCCAATTACAGAACTCTATGAACCTGAATGCATTACCATTTCCTTGTACTTTTTGTACTATTTGAAAAATAAAAGCAATGGCCCTTTGTATCGGAATACTGTTTCCCTTATATTCTACATTCAGTAATCAACTCATCTGCTTGTCCACCAGATTGCTGAAACATGATAGTCTTAGCAATTAGAAAAGTGGGAGAAAAGCAATGGACAAAAGATAACTTTACTAATATTGAATTCTTTGACACTGGGGTTCTCTGTCAGTGTGTGGAAGAACAAGAGAACCTCAGCTGGGAGGAGTGGGCAGGAGCCCCGTCCTTCTGATCTGTTTTCAACATACAGCACAGTTCTTGTGACTGGTGATAGGGATTTATAGATATTATTGACTATGTACCAGATAGACAAAGTTTCCCAGGACCTCAGAAAAGTAATCTCAGATTAAAAATAATACCCATAATGCAGCCATAAGTAAATGACTGAAAAAGATGCCAGGGCCAGCAGGCTTGCTTTTCTTAGACTAGGTACTTTGCCAGGTAAAATGTTGGTTAACTAAATTAGATTAGAGGAGACACAGTCCTTCTCAACCAAAATATCAAGAAGACCTAGAGGTATCCCCTATCCTCAATAATGAGTAAACAGGGTCTGAGTTAACAGGGCCTCCAAGAATTTTCATATAGAACAAACATTTTTAAATGTCATATATATATATATATATATATGTATAAATTTAAGTATATGGCTAACAAATTTGAAGCTTTATTTATAGGAAAAACTTGAAAGCTTACTACTGCTGTGTCCTCTGTGCACTGTGTGGAGTATAAGCAAAGAGTCACAAATATCTGTTGGAATAAAGGATCAACAAAGCTCTATAATCTAGAATAAGACCCTAGGGCTTCAATTTGTAATAGGAAAAGGTATAAAAACAGTACTCATATCATAGAATTATTGTAGAACTTAAACAAGAGTATTTGTCACAGGTATGCTTTAATAAATATTCATTTCTTGCTGTGTGTGTTGGCACACATCTGTAATCCTAGTACTCAGGAGAGTAGTAAGGCAGAAGATCTGAAAGTTCAAGGGCAACTATATAGTGAGAACCTGTCTCAAAAAAGAATGAATGAGTAAATAAGCCAGACACATATTAAGTGTAGTAAGTGAAGGCAAGAATATAACATAATAATGCTATTTAAGTTGCACTGTCTCTCCTAGGATGTTTTGCAATACAATGATCTGCCCTATTACAGAATATATTTATGTTAGATGAAATTTAAGCACTCAATTAGAAACTTACCACATTAATACATACACAATGGAATTCTATGCCTCCATCAGAAAGAATGACATTGCCCCATTTGTTAGGAAATGGAAAGACTTGGAAAAATTATATTAAGTGAAGTAAGCCAGGCCCAAAGAAACATAGGTCCCACGGTCTCCCTTATTTGCAATAACTAGTATATGAGTGAGTCAAGCAGAAAAGGTCAGATAAGGTGATGTTAGGGAAATGAACCCTAAGATATATATTAAAATGTTTTTCTTTCATGCAATTGTTTCTAACACATTTATAAGATTATTTCTTTGTTGCTTTGTATATCCCTCCCCCACAGTATAACCCCTGCTTTCCTGTATTTGATGTCGGTATAACTTGTGGAAGGGAAGAGGAAAAACAAATTGTTTAAATAGGGATACAGTTGGACCCATTGCAACAATGAGATGTACAAGTCGTTATGTCGAAAATGAACTTTACAACTTTGGCACAGCAGGGGTGGGGAGAGATGAAAAGGGATGGGAAGGGGAAACAAAGGAGGAGGAGGCAACAATGCTTGATAAGAAATGCACTCATTACCTTGCCCATGTAATTGTAACTCCTCTGTACAGTATTTTCACAATAAAAAAAAGAAACTTACCACATTAAAATCTAAATTTTTTTCAATCCATGATTTTGCTTCCTGAAATTCATCTTTCATTCCCATAATGAAAAGTGTATCCAAGGCATCTACTATAGTTGCTCCTTTGATGTTACCTGAAAATATTAAAAATAATTTTTTTCAATAAACACTTTGACCACACCTGGAAAAGACAAAAGGTAATTCTTAACTTATTAGTAAACAACAACATTGAATATAATCTAAACTCTCAATGAAAAGAAACAAAATAAAGGTACTAAACTAAAAAATTACCATAGGCTACATGATCAATCTTCTAATTTTTAATCTTTCCCATCTTCTTTTTATGGTGGTGTAAAAATTCGGTGAAATGGTGTATGGCATGAATGGCACTTGGCACACAATAAGTGCTCAATGAATATCAGCTAAAACTGTTCATGTACAAATAGGAATTATTTTACAGTTACTTACATGGTAAGAAGTCATGTTTTCTATTAGTGAATTCAGCTGTCCCAGGACAAAACTGAGTTCCTTTTACCTGCTATTTATATCAAAATCTGAAGGCTTGTTGGGTAGTGGTGACTCATGTCTATAAATCCTAGTGACTTGGGAGGCTTAAGAATGGGAGGAGGGTCTCATATCTAAAATATACTTGGAACTCAAAAAATTAAACCCCCCAACAACAAATCCCCAAAGAAACAACTGCCCAATAAATAAGTGGGCG